AAGCACCCTTAGGGTTTATCCCACTTGGTTGCCTAAAATAAAATGGCCATGTTACGCATGCGAAGTATCTTGGCAAAACAAAACAAATATAAAGATCATAGTCCCTCGATGACGCTATTCAAAGGTTGCCTAAACAAAATGATCTTGGTCCCTCAAAAAAATGCTAAGATACTTGGCAACATTGCTATCATAGTTATACAATGACCCACGCCCGTCCCGTTTACATCCAAAGATAGGTTTGCTTACCAAATCAATGGTAAGTCAACAATGTCAAAGGAATAAAAATGCACAAGAAAGACATTTGAGTAGGTAGATAACTTCTAAGTTACTTGCTCAATTTCAAAACAATCCTTGCTATTTTCAAAAACAAACACACACACATTTCAAAACATCTTACACAACATTGAAAATATTTTCAAAAGGCAAACGTCTTTGTATACATTCTTACGAACGAGAATCATTATAAAGATTGCCTAAACAAATGGCCTCTTTTACAAAATATTTTCAAAACCACACCAAACACCATTTCAAATAAAACAAAGCAAGTGATCTAAACAAGTAACTAAGAGCCCATGGAAAACCATAGATGAAAAGGGTGCTAGCACCTTCCCTTTTCATAATCTACCCCCCGAACTCAAGAAAACATCTCAAAGGTTTTTCCTGTGCTTTTTTACCTTTCCTTTTGGATAAAAGAAAAGTCGGTGGCGACTCTTGCTTACCGCAACATTTGCAAACACAAACACAAAACCTCAAGTCAGTTCTTCCACCGTATCACAGCATGTATAAGAGGGGGTGGCATGTTAGTTTAGTCTATTTGTAGAGTTTATAATGGAGAAATTAACATGCCACTCCCTGTTGTACATGGCATCCCCTAAGGGGTATAAAAAGACCAAATTGTCCAAAACCAAAAAATACTCAAAATATCCAAATTTCCAATACCACACCGGATTTTTGAAATTCACTAGGCGATACTGAAAATTTCAAGGCGATACCAGAAATTTCACGAAACAATAAGGATTTATGGTATATTTAGGGAATTTCCGGTATTTTCTATCTGAAATTTCAGAATTTTCGGTATATTCTAAGCGAAAACTTTGAAACTTCTGATTTTTGTATTTATCTTTTGTACCAGAAACTTTGAAATTTCTGGAGTTTTGCTGCGTATACCGAAAATTTCAAATTTTCATTTGTTCAAATTTGCTTGAAAATACCAGAAATTTTGAAATTTTTGGTAGTTCATATTTTCCTAATTTTTTTACGGACGTACATGCTACATCTGGTGACATATACTCTCTTTACGGACAAGTCTGGAGTTTACATCAATGTATGTTACTTGTCTCTATTCAGCACTCTTGACACTTCTTGTTGGAGACAACTGGCTGGTTACCTTAGCCTTTTACAGGTATGCTATAATTTATTTGATGGTTTTTTATTATTTATTTGGGTGTATTTATTTGATTATTTTTATTTATGCAGTGTTGGATATACGAGCACTTACCACACATCTATGACCGAAAGATCCAACGTTCCCTATAGGTTGTACCATGTGCGAGGAGATGGAAGGGCAAACAAGCCCTTCTAGGAGGTTTGATGGATTACCGGAGGAAGCTTGACGATCTGACTGTAGAGGATATCGTCTGGACACCATAAACATCTCATTGGGCTCATCGTGCATTTGACGACTCTTCTTTGTATTTAGGGCATCTTAGATGGGAGAACCATGTAACTAGACACTTGTCTAAAGGTGTCTACGACAATATGGTTATATCAAAAGCATCCCTCATCCAGTTCTCGTGGCTCCATCTGTTGGCATTGACAAATGGTTTCAGAATCACATCATCAACTCTGCCCATGAGATCAGGGAGAGATCAATTGTGGTTCAACATCCTTCACAATGCGAAGATGGATACCTGGAGTGATATCGCAGTGTATCACACCTTCGGGTCATACCACCGGCTACAACATCTGATTTTCCTGAGCCTTCATGTGCTAGGGTTTCTGCCGAGCCGCCGCCACCACCTTCACCACCTAGAGGAGATCAGGACAACCTCCTACAGTTTATTGCAATTCATTTAGAGAACCTCGTGGATTTGGTAAGCCCTGATGGTGAGATTTATACAGGTTAGCCGATGTAGCCCGTAGAGGATCTATGTAGATCTGTTTTATTTTGGTTGTATGATATGTATATTTTGTGACACACAGACTTCTTATTTATTACATAATATTTTGGTGATTACATGTTTCGAATCGATGATGAACATAACATAAAATAGTACAACAAACAAAAACTAAAAACAACTAAACATGAAAACCTAGGCACTACCGGGTGAATCTGGACGTTTCAGCATCTTTATTTTGTCGTCGACGGATCTTCGGATCTCCGCATCCAACTCAATCGGACATTTAGTTATCCTACGACGAAATGATTTCCACATGGCCCTCACATATTCATCGGTCTTTAACTCAATCAGATTGTATTTCACCCTTCAATTTGTATCAATTCAGTCTTCTCGAAACTCGATCTTTGTCACCCTTCATTTATCGAAATCAGGCAACAGTTCATTCAACTTGTCCTTTAAGTTGTCGAAGGATGTGGTGCCATCTGCAAGCTTGAATTCAACAATAGGGTTGTTTCTGTTGAAATATATTTCTGCCTTAATCAGAAATTGAGGAAGAGACATTGTTTCAGATATTTTTCTTTGTAGCATATGCCATTGTTTATACAAATGACAATGCATTCTAGACCACACAAATGTGTCGGTGCAATCAAAACCATCCAAAGATATCGGCAAAATCTAGACCATTAAAAAATTGAATAAATAAATTACTGGAAATTTCAGTATAATTCAAATTTTCGATACTGTCTAGTAAATTTGAAATTTCTAGAATACTGAAAATTTCAAAGACACTACCGGAAATTTACATAAACCAGAAGTTTTCTATGGATATAGCAAAAATTATCTGTACTGAAAATTATTTGTAACTCAACAAAGATAATTCCGAAATAATTGAAATTGAGGGTGTAATGTTTAATTTAGAAGTGACATGTGGTATTTCAAAAACGGTAAAATAGGTGGAGTAAAAGAGTTTTTTTCTTGAAAATGGTTTCTATGTAGATTAGGGATGAAGTCATATATTTTCTTTAAATGACATCAAAATTACATCATCTTCCTTAAGCAATAATTGATAGAATGTCTCTCTTAGTTTTGAAGTAAGTATTGATTTGATATTTTGTTGGGTTACATGTTAATGGTGGTACTAGCCTGAATTCTACAGGATTGAACTTTTAGCTACTTGGCCATTTATTTGTAGGCAATTTTTCTTTTAAAAAGAACTCTATACATTTTCTAAAATATTTCTTGAAACTAAATATATATTTTTAGTGTGTACTATTTTCTATTAAATATTGTCTAAAAATCAAAAATATATTTTTAATTTATATCGTAAATTTATTTTCGATTCATGTATTATCTATAATTTAGATCCGTAAGTCAAAATTGTGTTTAAGGTGCTATCGGAGATATATTTTAATTTATATTTAACTTTTTCATATCTTTTATAGTTAGTATAATGTAAACGAAAAATATATTTTTAATTTTAAGGAGCATTAAGATAATTTCACGTAGTGCGTTAGAAAATCATAAAATAAAATAAAATTCTCTATTTATAGGATTCCTCTACCCTCTTTAGTTTCTTTTTATTTGTTCTTATTTTTATTTGTATTTTTAATAATTTATTTCTAATAGTTTATTAGACACTTCTTATACTTTGTGACTTTTTATATTTATAATTTATATTTATAATTTGGTGGTTATTATCACTTTTTTACTATATTAATTTTTTATTAAAAAAATATTTTATTTAAGTTTAAATGCAATTTTGATTTACATATTTTTTTCGTTTTTCTAATTTTTTAGTCTCCTTTAAAATCATTTTCAATGCTTCTATTTAATATTTTTTAGATTTTTTTAATCTCCTACATATTTGCAGAGGTGACAGTGATGTGGTGTAGATGAAAAGGATGAAAAATAAAAAATTAATATTAATTCGAATGATGAATAGGATAAAAATAAAATATAAAGATTAATTAATATTTATAATAGAATTTAATAATATATAAATAATTATATTTATAAAAAAAAACATATTGTTATAATCTTAACAAATCAAGTTTGCTGCAATCAAACCAATTTTCTTTAGTTCTACATTACCCCTTAGAAGCTACAACCACAATAGAGGTAAAAAAAAAAGCAAAGGGTAAGAACAAGAACTTGAAAGGCAGAAACAACCTTTTGAATGAAATAGGCCATAGAAACTTCAACCTTCATGATTCTTTTCTCAGTTTCTTCAAGAACCTTCTTCTCTTCCCATTCCCAAACATTGACATTTTCTTCACTTTAATTAATTGATTAAATAATTGATTTTGTGTTGAAGTTTTGGTTGGAGAGTTGGGGGAAACAGGAAGCTTCCCTGTTGCCTTTTCGTAGTACTTTTCTTAGTACTCACGGTTTTTCAATGGAGGAAAATAGTAAATAAGGAATAAATAAAGTTTGCTGCAATTAAATAACAATGGATTGAGTGGCACAGTTGGTAAGAGTTTTGACATATGCACATCAAATGCAAAAACCGGGCTTAGCAAAAACACAAACACTTTCAAAATAGCAGAAACAAATGCACATCAGAATAAATAATTAATTACCACCCGACTGTACATTTCATTTCCATAAAACCATAACTAAGAGCTAACCTTCCCAACAATAAAATCCAAATAACAACTATGAACCACACTCAAATCTTACAACACCAAAATCCAAGACTACATCTTGCTTTCCTTTCCTTACGCTAAATTATTTTTACTTTATTGTTTTTCTCCTTATTTCGCCCCTTTGGCTTACCAACTGCCATCCAAAATTTGCCTAAAAGGTAAAATTGAACATTCGCTTTTCTTTTATTCTGTGCATTTGCTTTGCTTTAGGAACTTGAGAAAACAAAGAAACATCCTAAGTCATCACTGTGTGTTTGCTGCTGCCCTGGTGCTTGTTGTTGAGGTTCTGTTGCCTCTTGACAAATTCATCCTGATTCCCATCAATACTCTGGTCTTCTTTGGTGAGGTAGCTGTCAACTTGGGAAGCAGCTTGCCTTCCCTCTGAAATAGCCCACACAACCAAAGACTGACCTCGCCGACAGTCCCCAGCTGCAAATACCCCGTCAACATTGGTTGAGAAACGGCCATAACTGGCCTTGAAGTTTGACCTGTTGTCTTGTTCCACGCCCAACTTTTCTGCAATAGTCTGCCAAGGCAAAGAAAAACATTATCAGTTATGGTCTACAGAAATTGCTTTTGCGAAAGCATCCATCAGTTGGATGAAGATAACAAAAAGTCTGCCATTTAGCAAGAGTCCAGTAAAATTTGTTTCTATAGCTTATAATAATGGAATTTAATAGCAACTCATTAATATGCTAGAACTATTACCATGCAAACTAAATAGCATAAGCAACCAATTTATCTTCAATTCACATCAACCATAAACATATCATATTCATTTGATTAGCATATTTAAAACGTAAGAATAAAGCTATTTTAAGTACTTACCGACTCAGGACCAAGGAATCCCATAGCAAGTAAAACTAGGTCAGCCTCAATTATCTCCTCACTGCCCTCTATTTCCTTAAACTGAAACTTGCCGGTTTCATCCTTCTCCCAGCGAAGACGTACCACTTCAACTCCTTTTACGTTACCATTTTCATCTCCCACAAAACGCTTAGTCAGTACCTCGTAGGTTCTTGGATCTTTGCCAAATTTAGTTTCCGCTTCTTGGTGACCGTAATCAACACGGAATATGCGAGGCCACTGCATTCCAGAAACAGTGGTAAAGCTCAAGTCCAGACATAAAGAACAGTATCTAAGGTAAAAGTTCTTCTAAACTTTTTCAGCCTTCCTAGTAAGGACAAGTGAAAAAACAATTATTCGAATCTAACCTGAGGCCATGGATTGCCTGGGGCCCTAGTGGGTGGTGGCTGAGGGAGAAGTTCAAGATTTACAACGGAAGTACAACCATGACGAATGGACGTTCCAATGCAATCTGTGCCAGTGTCACCCCCACCAATGACCACAACCTTCTTGCCCTTGGCAGATATGTAGTTACCATCCTGTAAATTGCTATCAAGCAAGCTTTTAGTGTTGGCATGAAGAAAATTCATGGCAAAATGAACTCCTGATAGCTCCCTTCCCGGTACAGGAAGATCCCTGTATGAAAAAGTATCTTCATCAGAAACATTCTATATGCATAATGTTCTGTCATAAAGAATTGAACTAAATCCAAAGGTGAATAAACAGGATGACTGCTGTCACTGCATCTCACCTTGGCTTTGTGGCACCAACAGCCAAGACAATGGCATCATTTTTCTCTCGAAGTTGTTCAAGAGAATACAAAGGATCATGTCCAATATTAGCATTCACCACAAAGTTTATTCCCTCCTCAGCCATTAGATTGACTCGTCTTTGAACTATATCTACTTTGTCAGTTTTCATGTTGGGAACCCCATACATCATAAGACCCCCAATCCGATCAGCTCTTTCAAACACTGTTACCGTATGGCCCATTTTATTTAGCTGATCAGCAGCTGCCAAGCCAGATGGTCCACTTCCAACTATGGCTACTCTTTTCCTGTATAATAAAAGATCTATTTATGGTACTGTTTATCTAACAATTAATTGGAAGAAGGAAAAAAACTTACTTGGCCTAGTTCAATTTAGAGCTAATCATATTGGGTTGAAAAACGAAACAGCAGAAATTAAAAAAACAAAAACAAAAACAAAATTAAAATAAGTTTAAAAAAGAAAATAAATATATACCCGGTTCTCTTGACAGGAGGTCGTGGCACCATCCAACCCTCTTCAAAAGCCTTGTCTATGATAGCACATTCAATGTTTTTAATAGACACGGGATTCTCGATAATACCAAGGACACAGGAACCTTCGCAAGGTGCTGGACACACCCGACCAGTGAACTCGGGAAAGTTGTTTGTTTCAAGAAGCCTCTCTAAGGCTTCTTGCCACCTATTTTGATACACCAACTCATTAAATTCTGGTATTTTATTTCCAAGAGGACATCCGGAATTTTCCTGAAATATTATGCAAATTTCTTTAGTTTAAACATGGGTCCATATAACCACCTTAGAAGAAAAGTTATAAGTAATGAAACTAGAAAATGGCAATGCCCACCTGATGACAGAAAGGAGTGCCACAATCCATGCAACGGGCAGACTGTGTTTTCAAAAGTGGCCCCGGCTTTGTCTCCATCATAACTTCATTCCAATCATTAAGGCGGACATTAGGATCCCTATACTGAACACCCTCGCGCTCATAAGCAACAAAGCCTCTATGTTTAACAGCATCAGTGACCTGACTTGGCCTCTTGGGAGCCTGCATTCAAGGACAATAGATACTCTTCCAGGTATGTTCTTCATGTTTTGGATACAAAAAAAAAAAAAAAAAACTAGACTATTGGACCCCAGCAATGCAGCATAGTATTCACCAGGTTAGTTTAAAATCTCTTTTAAGATAGGACCTACGACCAAGAGAAAAAACATACACTAAACAGAAAGGCTTTCACTAAATTGAGATATTAGACAAAAATTGTTTTCTTAAAACACAACGTAAAAAATGTACAAAATTAAAAACTAATAGTAACAAATAAGAAACTAAAAATTACCTCACTGGGTTTCTCATTCAAAGATGCAGTTGCCAACTTCTTTAGCTCTTCAAAAGCATCTTTCTCTACTGCTTGAGCTTCATCATCATCTTTTTCATCTACATCATCATCAGCACGCTCCACTGCCTCTTTAGAGGCTGCATCAGACTTCATACTTGCAAGAACACGTTTATACTCCCTAGGGAACACCTTGACAAATTTAGGTAGAAGATTGTCAAAATCAACCAGCACTTCCTTGGCAAGCAGACTATTTGTGTGACGTTGATGTTGCTGTATCAACATCCTAAGAGTCATAATGTCCTCTTCCTCTTCAACCTTATCCAGATCCACAAGCTCTGGGTTGCACCGAGACTGGAATGTTCCGTCCACATCAAGAACATAAGCGATTCCACCACTCATACCTGCAGCGAAATTTCTACCAGTTTTCCCAAGAATTACAACGGTCCCGCCAGTCATGTACTCGCAACCATGATCACCAACGCCTTCAACTACAGCACGAGCCCCAGAATTACGCACACAAAATCTTTCTGCTGCCATCCCATTGAAATATGCCTCACCACGTGTTGCCCCATACAGTGCCACGTTTCCAATTATGATGTTGTCTTTGGGGTCAAAATTGCTTCCTTTTGGAGGATATACTACAATCTTGCCACCTGATAATCCTTTACCAATGTAGTCATTGCTATCACCTTCAAGTTCCGAAGTGATGCCAGGGCAAAGGAATGCACCAAAGCTCTGGCCAGCACTACCAGTAAATCGGATATGGATGGTGTCATCTGGAAGACCAGCTAAGTTGTACCTCTTAGTAACCTCATGGCTAAGCATAGTTCCCACAGCACGGTTAGTATTATGAATTGGTGTTTCAATGTATACTGGAAGACCCTTTTCCAAAGCAGCATTGGACAGACTTATAAGCTTATTATCCAAAGCCATGTCCAGATCATGATCTTGCTTTTGCACACAGTATTGTGCAGCTTCTGGCCGCAGTTCAGCTGCAGGTCTAAGCAATAGAGAGAGATCAATGTTCTCAAGTTTTGCATTTCCATTAACAACTTCTTTATCAACTTCGAGCATATCTGAACGGCCAACCATTTCATTGACTGTTCTAAACCCAAGTTGGGCCATAATTTCTCTCATCTCTTCCGCCACCATAAAAAAGAAGTTAATAACATGCTCGGGTTCTCCAGCAAATTTTTCTCTAAGTACTGGATCTTGAGTAGCAATGCCAACAGGACAGGTGTTCTTGTGGCACTTCCGCATCATGATGCAGCCTAGAGTAATGAGTGGAGCAGTACTGAAACCATACTCTTCTGCACCAAGAAGAGCGGCTATAGCCACATCTCTTCCGGTTTTGAGTTGCCCATCAGTTTGGAGAGTTGTGCGACCACGTAGGTCATTAGCTACCAATGTCTGGTGGGTCTCGGCCAGACCAAGTTCCCAAGGAAGCCCAGCATTCTTTATGCCAGTCCATCTGGATGCTCCTGTACCTCCATCATGACCTGAGATCAAGACATGCTCGGCATGGGCTTTAACAACTCCACTAGCAATGACCCCAACTCCAGCTTCAGATACTAGTTTCACACTAATTCGAGCAGCTGGGTTGGCATTCTACAAATTAACATAAGGGGTCAAACACAAATAGGAAGAACACCTATTGTTGTAATACTCAAACAGATATATTGAAAGAAAAAAAGAAAACAGATATGAAAATACCTTCAGATCGTAAATTAATTGAGCAAGATCTTCAATTGAATAAATATCATGATGCGGAGGTGGACTGATGAGCCCTACCCCAGCTGTTGAACTCCTAGTAATAGCAATGTCTCCTATAACCTTGTGGCCAGGAAGTTCACCTCCTTCACCAGGTTTTGCTCCCTGAGGATTACAACTATAACGTTAAGACACTACCACTCCACCATAAGTGAAAAAATACACTTTTATTGAACCTCACCAAATAAAAAATGTAGGTTTCAATTAATGACACAAGGGCACCTAGAGGTGCCTTAAGTCACAGCGTCATCTGCCATGAATATAAACTCATAAACAACAGAACATACTCTCCAACAGGAATAGAGGGGCACCAATTGATGAAATTTTATTGGGATTAAAGGAAAAGAACAATAGTCTCGATTGGAAAGAACAATAGTCTCGATTGGAAAGAACAAGCTACAAAAAATACCTGGGCCATCTTTATCTGAAGTTCATCAGCATTTGTAAGATAGTAACTTGAAACTCCAAATCTCCCACTAGCAATCTGCTTAATGGCACTCCTTTTGGGATTCCTTGAGCCATCGGCCAGAGGCTCCATACGAGATGGTTGCTCACCTCCCTCACCTACAACAGATATTGAAGAAAAAAATCATCAGAAAATCAAAGAAATTGAGGAGAATAATCATGTCACTTAATATTAAGAGATTTGCAAAATAGAGTCCACGTGATATTTTCATGGAAAAATTGTGCTGGACAGCATGTTTTGTCAAAACACTTAACAATGGGTAAAAGACTAATCATTTATGTTTCCGTGCTTTGGGGGAAAAAGAAAAGTTGTGACTCATCATTCTTAAATAAGTTTGACAAACCTGTGTTGGATTTCCCTCCAATTTTGTTCATTGCCGTTGCTAATGCAGTGTGGGCCTCCAATGATATTGACCCATAACTCATGGCCCCAGTGCAAAACCGTTTAACTATTTCGCTAGCAGGTTCAACTTCACCAATAGGAATCTTAGTTGAAGTATCTTTAAATTTCAGAAGACCTCGCAAATTACAAGCCTTGTTCAATTCATGAATGGTCTTGGAATACTGTTTATACGCATCTACACTGTTAGTTCTGGTAGCTTCTTGAAGCTTTGCAATAGCAAGTGGATCGTTCAGATGAACTTCGCCACCTTTTCTCCAATGATAATCTCCAGGATTTGGCAATGCTACTGCTTCTGCACTTCCAGGAGAGAAAATCCGAGAAGGAAAAGCTAACTCGTGCAGCTGAAGTGCGTCACGTGCGAGCATCTCAAATGTTGCACCCTCAACTCGACTTGGAGTTCCAGCAAAGCACTTTTCAATCACTTCTGAAGAAAGACCTAGAGCTTCAAATATCTGAGCACCTTTATATGAAGCCAAAGTTGATATTCCCATCTTGGCAAGAACCTTCATCATTCCGTAGTTGCTTGCTTTGAAATACTTCTTGACCAACTCATCTTTGGAGTGGAATTCACCACTGGCTTTTGGTGGGATCTTTCCATCAACCTGCAGTCGCCAAATTGCCTCTACAGCCAAATATGGGCATATAGCATCAGCACCAAAACCAACAAGTGTGCAGAAATGGTGCACTTCACGTGGCTCGGCAGATTCGATCATTAGGGCAACTCGTGTGCGCTCAAGTGTTTTAACTAGATGTTGGTGAACAGCACCAACAGCGAGAAGGGAGCTCACAGCAACACGTTTTTGGGAGAAGGCTGCAAGGTCAATCAAAGATTTAAAACATTAGTGAATGTGACTATACAGTATATTTATGCAACAGAAAATAACATAGAAGTAGAATACCTCTATCAGAAAGCACAATGGTGGTGTAGCCTTCACTAATTGCATTGTGGGCTTCTGTGCATATCCTATCTAAGGCTTCCTCCAACCCTTTCTTACCGCGTTCCTTTGAGTAAGTAATGTCTATAACTTTGCTCCGCCATCCCCTATAATTCATTTTTTTTATGGCTTCCATTTCCTTGGTGGATAAAAGGGGGCCTTTTAGTGAAAGGCGGTGGCATTGTTCCTCAGTGGTTTCTGTCAGATCCCCTTCTGGACCAACCATACATTGCGTAGAAGTGACTATTTTCTCTCTAATAGGATCTATAGGAGGATTTGTCACTTGAGCAAACATTTGTTTGAAATACTCAAAAGTAAGTTTTTCTCTATTAGACATGACAGCTAATGGAGTATCATTTCCCATTGACCCAAGTGCTTCTACACCATCTTTTGCCATGGGAAGTAATAGCATTTCCAATGATTCAATAGAATACCTACACGAGGAGAGCATAATATAAAACACTTCCTTAGTAAATATGGTGGTTAGAATGGAAGAAATACCCAGGGAGGAGGTCACATACCCAAAAGCTTTCAATGGAGACAGCAAACCATGAATTCCCATATTTTCCATATCTACATCATCATTAGATAGCTGTTGTTCATGGAAAATGCAATAATTAGACTTGCCTATGATAAATTTATAAGAAATTGATGTTGGTGTTTATTGTTATACTTACTGGAGCCACTCCCGATATGGCTGGTGGCACAGTATCAGATTCATGAACAGAGTCAACTATGTCCTTCAGTTCAATCTTCTGCTTTTTAAGCCAGTCCCCATAGGGTCTTGCTAGTGAGTATTGCTCTTTTAAGGCATCATCGTTCACAACTATATGCTTCTCAAAATCCACCAGAAGCATCATGCCAGGATTTAGTCTTCCTTTCCTGCACACATCTTCTGGGGGAATATCTACAACACCAACTTCACTTGCCATTATAACCCGTCCACTGTGGGTAACATAGAAGCGGCCAGGTCGTAGTCCATTCCTATCTAATGTGGCTCCAAGATAGTGGCCATCGGTAACTGTAATAATATTAGATTAGGTATCAAATCAAATACCCTAGAGGTAAATAGAAGTGTGGTCCCAGAAAATTTACATGATATAAGAGCTGGTCCGTCCCATGGCTCCATCAGTGCTGAATAGTATTCATAAAATGCTTTACGCTGAGAGTCCATGTTCTTGTCATTCTGCCACGCTTCAGGAATCATCATCATAACAGCTTCTGGAAGACTTTTTCCAGAATGAAGCAAAAACTCAAGGACACCATCAAAACATCCTGCAAAAGAAAACACCATGAGTCATGACTCAGTAATATGACCACAGTTTAACAAGCTAACAAAAAATCTCATTAAGAGTTTCACCTGAATCTGATGAATTGGCATCCACAATTGGTAAAAACTTCTTTAAATCATTCTCGGATAGGCCAAGTTCCTCACATTTCAGTAGGCCCTCACGTGCCTTGATCCTACAAAATACACCAGATTAGCTTATATATCTGCACCACATCAATCAACAGGCAACGAGTAAAACCCTAAATACACAACACTCAATGTTATTTACATTGGTCGCACCGTGGATTTGGACACTATCTCCTTTGGAGGGGCTTGAGGAAACCCAGCCATGTGAAATTCCAACATAAGGGTTATTCTATTAAAACAACGGTATGGAAAAACTTTTTCAAGATATACATACCAGTTAACATTGCCTCTGAGTGTGTTGATTTCACCGTTGTGGCCCAATACACGAAAAGGTTGAGCACGATCCCAGCTAGGGAAAGTATTTGTAGAGAAACGGGAATGTATCTACATAGAAGTATACCCAATTGTGAGATTTCATGGTTAAGTTCTTATAATAGTGTAAAAACCAAAGTAAAAAGTCATGTGCAGTTTTCTTCAAGCACTTCGATATAACATATACTGAAGTGCCAGTAGAAATTACAAAATTCCTATCCACATTCACCAAAGTGATACAATTCTGAAGAAATTGTCCTCCAGACCAACTAACCAGATAAAGCATCAGCAGAAATTTCTGCAAACATGATTATCTTGATAATGAACTTTCTTACCAACTCAACCATTGAATCCAATCCAGCATCCAAAATCAAAAAGTAATCAAGGAAGCGGAAGAACTTAAGAGATCATTCAAACCTCAATGCCTCAGAAGTCATTCCCCAACCTTGCATCTCTTCAGTTACTGGTTGTTCCTATGCTGTTTGTGGGAGTATAAAGTTAGTGGAGGAAGAAGATGAGTTAATGGGCAAAATATTTACCAGGGCCATGTAGCTCGTAAACCTTTCATTGCCAAGATCTGCATAATATTCCCTCAACTGAGTTGGAGTTAGCTGACCTTTGTAAATAACAGTCCTGTAAAACAATTGGAAAATCATAAGAAATTTGAATTTTTTTTGACAACTGCAGCAGTAACCAGAATTTACTATTCAAGAAAATGAGGATGCCTCTTTGGCAGCACCTTGATGATAGTGAACAAATATAGAAATCTGTAATTCCATCATTTTGGAGGTTTAATGCAGATGTAATAGCAACCATGCTGAGCTTCCTTAATATGTACATCTGCAAGGAAAGTATGTCTATCTATTAATCACTATTCAGTTAAAATTTAATCATACAATGAAGCATGCTGAATCCAATTCTTATACAACCTTTTTCCTTAACAATAAACTCTACTTTGACCAAGATAGCCTTACTCAGAATGTTAACTAAAGTAACACACTTGCTAATCTTTTTCATTGTAAACAAATCCCAATTCAATTATTTATTCACCAGCTTAAACTAACCTGTTTCTCCAAATCAACTTTTGAGGTAGAACTCGGTGTAAGAAACACTTGTTCAATCACTGGTTCGGTCAGCAGGGCTGATTTGCCCAATCCTGTGTTATCTGTGGGCACAGAACGCCAACCAAGAACTGTGTGACCAAGAGACTCAGCAACCTTAAGCAAAAAGCAAAGAAGTATTGTCAGTAGAAGACCAAAACATTATAAGGAAACTAGCAAAAGGAGCGAAACACAAATGCAAAATAGAAAGCAATCATTGCTTTTGTTCACAGACGACTTCAGCATGATTCCAGCTAGCACATACAAGGCAGGGAAATTCACACCGTATTATAAATCAAGTATAAGTTATAACTTCAAGACTAAAACAAGTATAAGTTATATATAACTTAAAAACATCTTACTTAAAATCAAATTTCAAACAAGATAAAATAAACATTAGAATTAGGCTCAGCAACCATAAGTCATTAAAAGACAAAATCAATATTACAATAATAATGTGAAAAGAAACATGATATATTAAGTACAAAATGGTTTTTGTTAGTCGACAAATTCAACAAAATTACAACAGGCGGATACAAGGCATGAAAAAGGTATGATATGCTAAAGAATGGCAGAAACACTTATCTAGTTAAGCATGAAATTTAATCACATTTCAGAATTAGATTTACCTTACTAAATATATTTTTGCTTTCCTTTCTCCGATTGTCGGATCTAGGCAAGAAAAACATGCCAACGGAGTAATTTCCTTGAGAAGGAAGCTGAAAATCCACAACCTGCAATAAGGCAAACCCATTAAATCAGCCTCTTTCAATATAAGAGTTGAAAGATACAAAACCAACTCCCAATAAATCAAATGTTAGGAGCCATTTGGCCTGAAAAAAGTTTCATGTTTTTATTTTCAATTCTGTTCTCACTATTAACTCCAAAGTTGGAAATTTACATTCACTTTGTTTACTATGCAAAACAAGTACAAAGTGAAAACAAGTCGCACTTAGTTTTACAATAACAAGTAAAAACAAAAAATGAAATAAAACATTTTCTAACACCAAACAGGCCTAACAAATATGTTCAAATGATCAAAAAATGAATTAAGTAGAATTAAAATTAATTTATATACATGCATAAAAATATGATTCCGCATGCATCCCAATAGAATAAATTGCCACAATATGTTCAAATGATCAAAAAATGAATTAAGTAAAATAGAATTAAAATTAATTTAAATACATGCATAAAAATATGATTCCGCATGCATCCCAATAGGATAAATTGCCACAATATATCTTACCTTCTAGAACTCATTTTCTTAAACTTATTAAATAAGTTTAAAACATATTATTTGATGACTAGAGAAATTAGATTCTACTTAATTTCGATTTCAATAATAATAAAAATAAAACAAAATAAATAATAAAAAATAATATTAATAATAATAATAACAACAAAAAACAACAACAACAATAATAATAATAATAATAATAATAATAATAATAATAATAATAATAATAATAATAATAATAATAAAATAAAGTGTTTTATGAATGCATCCAAATTGGTATGCACCGACGGTTTCAAGCATGCATCAATTACATTTCACCAAGCAAATAATTGCGGAAGATATTTTAACAACTTAGTAATATATCAGATTCATAATTGAGAACGATATTTTAAGAACAGGTGGCATAATAGTGAATTGAAGAGTATATGAATTAAATCATAAAAGAAAAGCGAATAAAGAAAGAGACATCCAAAAAAGTATATACTGCTAGTACCTAATTGGGGAGCAAAATACTTTCACAAATTATTTTTATTAAAAACTTCATAAAGGACATTAAAATCCCACATGCTCATAAGTATAACAACCATCAATCACTCAAACGAAAACAAAAAGAAAATTCAGACAGATAAAAAAATACTCATAATAAATAAAAAATACACAAACAAACAAGAAAAAAACAGATAAGTATTTTATTTATTCAAAAATAACACAGATAAATAAAAAAAAAGTCAAAAACAAATAAAAACAAAAACGTGCCTCTTGGTAGAACTCATGAGGCAGAGCTACCAAAATCCCCGCACCGTCACCGGTATTAGCTTCACAACCGCAACCGCCTCTGTGCGTCATCCGAATCAACATCTCCAACGCATCAGTCACCTATTCACACAAAAAACAATTTCAATTACAATTTCAATCTCAATCTCAAATGATTTTCATGCAACTAGTATTCAGAAACAAAACAATCATCCTAACCGTTTTACGACTGCTTTGACCGCTCAATTCCGCCACGAATCCAACACCACACGCGTCCTTATCAAACGCCGGATCATAAAGCCCCATCGGTTTCTCCGGCACAGCTGAAAACGAAAACGACGACTTAACCGCCACTCTCAGCTTCGGCAACCTCCCCGGCCGAACCGATTCCAAAAACTGACTCCGCTCCGAACCGCTCCTCCGTAAAGCGGTTCCTAACCACCTCTTCCTCTCGACACACATGGCGGAACATCGCACAACCGTGCTTCTCACTCTCGCCAGAGGCTGCAAACGCGCGTTAGGGTTACTTATCACGTTTATCTGAGGATTGTTAAACGTTAAAGAAACAGAGTTCAACATTTTTCAACAAAAATCAAAATTAGAAACGCTTAGGCGTATTATCTTTTTCTAAACGGTTGTTTTGGTAATTTTAGATTATGAATGATTTTCACATTGAACGTTGAACGTAACAGATCTGAAATTAAGATCCGGATTATGGAGAAATTAGAGATACGAATCTGAAAGGAAAAAAGGAGAGAAAGAAAAAGGAGAGAAAGACAAGGGAGAGTAAATAGCGCCGTTTGTGTGAGCGAGGGTTCTTTGGGTGAGAGAGGAGAAGATGAATTTATAGTGAAAATTAGAAGAAGAAGAAGTGGGGACCACCGTGTTTATGTAAAATTTGCTACCAACTACATACTGTTTTTTCTGTTTTCTTCGTTGACAGCTAAGGATTCAAAGTGGTGACACGTGTGAGATGCGTCTATGCGGCACGAGACAGCCGTTTCTGTAGGTGGGTCCCACCGTTTTGGTTTTGGCTCGTGTGTGGGCGATAACCTATAACTTATGGAGTAGATTCGCTTTATCGTTCCCGGAGCGGTAATTTTTTTTAAACTAGAATAACTAACTTATTATGGTTACAGAAAAATAAAACTAAAACTAACTTTATCCTTATCCGTCTACCTTTTTTTTCTCTAATTTTTTCTATGTGCTATAAAACTTTTTTAACTTTAATTGTTTCTAATTGGCCCACAATATAATAGATTTATGTAACTTTCTATATATCAGTCAACTATAAATCACTATTAATATGTTTTTTTGACACTCAATTATTATTAATATGTTATTTAAATAGAATATGATTAAAATTCATATCTTTATTCATTCAATGAATCTAGAATTAATATTTAGACGGTGTCTATTTTTTACATTCTTTTTAAAAATTGATTTCTAGAATTATACATTTTTGGAAACAAATTCAAAAATAGAATTTATTGAAATTATTTTATATCAATAGTATATACTCCCTCCGGTCTCATTTATAAGAAAAAATTAACTTTTTAGATACATTAAATAAGTAATGTATTTGGACAATATATTGTCCAAATACATTACTTATTCAATGTATATAAAAAGTTAATTTTTTCTTATAAATGAGACCGGAGGGAGTATATAATTTTATCTAACTTTTTATATTATCATTCAACCATAAATCATTATTTGTATATGTTATTTAAATTAGATATTATTAAATTAGATGTTGTTTGTTTTTGACATGCTTTTTTTAAAGTTTTTTTTAAAATTATATTTGTTTCAATCTAGAAAAAATTTATTTTTTAGATACATTGAATAATTAATGTATTTAATTAATATATAGTTCAGATACATTAACTATTAATTGTATCTAAAAAGTGAATTTTCCTTATAATAAAAGAGGAGGTATATTTTTGGAAAAAAATTCAAAAAGAAAATTTATATGAAAATATTTTGAATATTTATCAAATCTTATGATTAATATTTATTCCTCCTATCTTTTATTTTAAAAGTCTTTCTACTTGATACATTCTCTTTATATATATATTCTTGATGAATATTTATTATCTATAAGTTTATCTAATAGATCATTCAACAATAATTATTTATATGTTATTTAAATTAAATATTATTGAATTTGAATATTTTAATCGATTAAATGATTATATATTAAATATTTTGTCAGTATCTTTCTAATTTTAAAAAATATATTTTTTTTAATAGAATTAATAGTATATATGTATGAGTTTATCCAACTTTTATATCATTATTAAACTACAAATAATTATGTATATGCTATTTGAACTGGATATGATTAAAGTTAAATATTTTTATTAATTGAACGAGTATGTATTAAATATGTAGATAGTGTCTGTTTTTTACAATTTTTTTAATAATATTAATATTAAATTTTATGTATTTCTAAAAATATTCTAAAAATATAACTTTTTATAAAAAAACAATATCATTTTCTTATTATAAATTTTTTTTAATAATGAAAATTCAAAAAAAAATTGAAACGAAAAAGTTATTTTTAATAATTTTTTCATAAACAATATTTTTGAAAAATGTCTTTTACAAAAAAAAATTATCATGTTAAAATGTGAATATTAAAATAATTTTTTTTAATTTTAACAAATGAATTGAAAATTAATTTTACTAATTTTAAGTAATTTCTTGTAAAAGTTATTTTACAAATATAAAAGTAAGTTATTTTTTTTAAAACAACTATAACAAGTGGTGCCATACACATGAAAAAAAAAAGAAGGTTTATTTGTGGTCGGTGAATAAAAGTTGAATTTAAAATATTTTTAAATAAGATATTATTTATTTTAGTAATATATCTTTTACTATAATTATATGTTTCTATTTTTATTTGTGTGGAAAAATATGTTTGTGTCATTGTGAAAAAAAATGAAATTATATTGTTCTCTTTTTTTCTCAAGAAAATTTATTATTCTCTATAGTTAACGAATGTGTTTTTATTTATTTATTAAAATAGATGTTTTTTAAGTTAAACATAAACTGATAATTATATGTATTTTTTATGTTAAAATCACTGCTAAAAAAAAGGAAAAGAGATATTGTCTAGAAAAAAGATTTTTACTTTGTTTGAGGTGAAGGTAAGAATGATATTATGAAAAGTGTGTTATGAATTCGATTGTAAGTATCTGAGTTGATGGTTGAGTGAAAAGTGTTATTTTTCTTTTTGATTGTAAGTATCGTTCGAATAGAAATATATATTAGTCATGAATTCGATTTTTAATAAAAATATTTTTTATTTTTAAAATTAAAAAGCGTCGTGTCATTTTTCTCCTCGATTAAACTTAAAATCAAGATGAAAATATCAATTTTTTTATGTCGATTGCTTCTATTAATCAAAATAAAAGATGTCATGCGAAATTTTTTATCTTCTTTGTGATCTAAATGAGAGAAAATCACTTGTTTTTAAAATATTTTTTTAATTTAATAAAATTAATATTTTACCCTTTTTTTCCGAAATTGAATTTAAACCGTACATTTTTAGAAACAGAACAAATAACATATTTGTGAAACAAAATTATATATATCTTATGTTTCAAAATAGCACACAATTTGTACCAAAATAATACATTTTTTAAACGCCAAAATAGCACACTACATGTTCTTTAAAAAAAATTAAAACATACACAAATACGACTTAAATACACTTTGATCTTTTATTTAGATATTTTTAACTTTTTGGTCTCTTTTCAAAATATAACTTTTTAGTCACTCAATTTTATTTTGCATGGAATTTTTTTATCTCACTCTACTTTTACACTTGCAACATTCTCATTTAATATGTCACACCTTCACTAAAACGCCAAATAATATTTATAATATTGTTTAATATGATATTATAAATAAAAATATTTAAAAATTTTCAAACAAACTTTATATATATAGAGAGAGAGAAAGAGAAATATTTTTATTCCAAAAATAATTTAAAAGAATTACTTTAAATCTTAACTTTTGATTTTCATTAATCTAATAATTTTAATTAATTATTTAATTTATTTATTTTTAAAACTAATTATAATCGTTAAATTAATAAAAATAAAAAATTATAATTTAAATTAACTCTTTTAGATGTACTCTATATCTCTCCAATATATGAACAGTAAACAAATATTTGTAATCAAAATTTATACTAATTTTAATTATATGAGTTTATGTAACTTTTTATAACATCGGTCAAATCAAATCATTATTTATATGCTATTCAAATTAAATATAATTAAAACTGAAATTTTTAATTGCTTGAATGATTCTATAATAAATATTAGGCGGTGTCTATTTTTTACATTTTTTATAAAATGATTTCTAGAATTATATATTTTTGTAAAAGAAGTTCAAAAAAGTGACTTATATTAAAAACATTTTATATTAATAGTATATATATATATATATATATATATATATATATATATATATATATATATATATATATATATATATATATATATATATATATATATATATATATAAAAGTTTACAACTAGAAATCATTATCTATATGCTACTTAAATTAGATATTATTAAATTTGAAAATTTTAACTGATAGAATGATTCCATAATAAATATTTTATTATTTATTTAAAATTATTTTAATAGAATATATATATATATATATATATATATATATATATATATATATATATATATATATATATATATATATATTGTTCTGGACTGGGCCTATCTTTGGCCCAACTCCATGTGAGGCCCAACTCAATTATGTCGGTCAAGGCATACTGGCTAGTTCTGCCATTGACTGCGTCGGGCAGCAACTTCCACTCTCCGCAAGGAGGCAACCTCATCACACGGGGATAAATTCAAGTAGTTTCAGGAAGATCATCGTCGGTCACGAGGACATCGAGGTCATCTTCTGATCCTCTCCGTGATCAAGATTGATCCCCTCACACGACCTCGCGTCTGGCGAGTAGCATCAACGACGAGCAGAAGCACATCACGAGCATCCTCCTCGTAGAGCTGACTATCAACGTATCTGAATATCACAGAGTCTTCGTGGCTCCGGAAAGACCACATTCATATATTCCTGATCTTGTCGAGGAAGTCATCCAGGTGGGAGACCATGTGCAGGTCTCCACTAGTCACGTAGGACTTGGCAGTCTCTACTTTGGGTCTGCTTGACCAGCCCAGTGAGGAGACCTTGGCCCAGCGCTGAGGGCTATAAATACCCTCTCTTTCGAGGGGGTCAAGTATTGGACATTTATCACTCTCTTACTTGCTTGCTCATTCCGAATCTCACTTTGGCATCAGAGTGTCTTGCAGGTACCCCCTCCCCCACCTCACTCTCAAGTTCTGCTCGACGTAACTTGTGACGGTCCATTCTGGTCAGTACGATCAGTGGCGCCATCTGTGGGAATCACAGCTTCCCTGTCTTTCGTTGATCCAAAATCCAACTCCTTTTTTACTGTCATGGTTGATCTCACGACAGAAAACAGCCTGAACGTCCATCTCGTTGATGTCAACAACAACGTCGTCGACCATAACACCAGCACCAA